GAAGAAGGGAGGCTTACACAAGAAACAGAAGAAATCCACCAACTTCCTGAAGGAAGTGGACTCCCTTTTCCCTCACAGTCCTCTTGATCCTGATTAATGAGAAACACTTCCAAGATACTGGCAACTATCCATCATGGTGCTCCCAACCTGCAGACGCAACAGTATCCTGGGGTGGGGGTGGGGAGCTATGAACTGCATGCCCCTAAGGAGAGGGAGGAATGAAAGCCTCATTTCCTGATGTTGGGGAAAGCAAGAGAATCCTGTTGCCCCAGCAGGCCCTCCCATAATCCCAGAATGACCGGCACAGAACCCCACTCCATTATTACTCAGACTCCATGACCAGCCTTCTCCCTCCAGGCCAACACCTGGTCAAAAAGGACAGTCAGCAGAAACAACATCAACTTCCTTCATGGGAAGGTGCAATAAGTTCTATCCCACTCCCCCGTTCTTTGTGTGCTACCCTCTCCTCTTGCACAAGACCACACGGAAGAGCTTAACCAGCCTTTATCATGACTTGGCCTCCGTGCTCAGAACTGGAAAGAGGGCCTTCTAATTCTCAGCTGAATACGGGCTTAACAGTGGTAGGACACCCCCAGGCTAGTCAAAGAAAAACCACCAGAGGAAATGATTTCAAATCTGGCTTTGCAAGCATGTGATTTAAAAATAACCCTGCCTTTGTCTGCTATAGATGACTTTCCCTAAAGGGACTGCTGTCCTTAAAGCAATCGCTCAATTCTCAGGGCAAATACATTCTTATTTTTCCATACCCAGCACATACCTCCAGGAGAGTGCCACCTCTGATAGCATCTGAAATGCAAACCCCGAAGTAGCTGAAATGCCTCCTGCATCTCTGCTGGCCTGGGAACATCTAGGGTGCTGCATCTTGGATGACTGAGAAGCCCCCGCAGATGGCGACAACATCCAAGAACCACCACTGGGCCTTTCATTAAGATGTCAGCCTAGAAAGTTCAGTAATCTCAATATAGCCCTATTGGGCTCCAATGAATCCCTGGGGTTATTTCTTCAATAAAAATTTTATTTCTTCAGATATTTGATTCATTCTATGATTGGAGAGCTAGACAGAGAAATAGGGGTGGGGGAGGAAATAGGATAAAGGATGGGGCAGTGGCAGTCAGGGTAACTGCTATGAGCATTTACAAGAATGCTCACCTTATCATTCTAAGACATCCTTGGGATAGACCTACAAATGTATAATTTCTCAGCTTATGACTTCATTTCCTTTCAGCCAGACAGGGAGCACTGATGACACAATGCTACTGAGCGTAACTCAAAGGATGCATGCTGAGCAGACAGCAGAAAACAAATGTCTAGTAAAACTGCTCGGTAATTATCTCCTGATTGGCCTGATGACTTGGTTTTAGCAACTAACAGTTCATAACTACACACTTACTAGTAATCTATTTCTTCTTGGCAACCTCATGTCTCCTGACCTTCCCAAAAACTTTGCCATAAAGTATTACAGGAGGTAAAAAAGCATCCATCTAGATGACAGGGCCCTGAATTAAAGACCAATTTTCCTGACCAAGTTAGAGGTCTAGACCAGTGGTTCTCAACTGGGGGTGACTGCCCTCCCAGGGACATCTGGTTCTTTCTGGAGACATTTTTACTTGTCACAGCTGGGGATTGGTGGTGCTACTGGCATCAAGGGTGTGAAGGCCAGGGAACGCTGCTAAATATCCTACAATGCACAAGGACAGCTCCCACAACAAAGACTTACCCAGCCCAAAATATCAATAGTGCCAAGGCTGAGAAACTTTTATCTATGCTGAAATTGTACAATTTCCAGAATGCCTAAGGCTACATCTGTGCTCTTCCCTTCCAAGGACTCATTTTCCTCAAGTTTAACTTGGTACTTCTACTCTGTTCAGCTACGTAGAATACAGGCAGATCCCGGGTTATGAAATGTCCAATATACGTAGAAGCTGGAGTTTCAAACCACCCCCTGTAAAGCCTATTATATTAAAAATTCAAGGTACATACGATGGTTCGTAATAATAAACAGGTACTACTTCACGATGCACACCCAAACATTATTATTACTACTGTATTATTAAGGTAAAGATGTTTTAGTGTATCTGGAAGTGTTTCTTTAACATTTTTTATGCATAGAAAAGTACACTATATACTAGGTACTAAGACAAACATATGATTAACTGACATTAGATATGAACCATACCTAACTGTTCCGACTTACGTACCAACTCAACTTAAAGACAGACTTAGAGATGGAACCCTTTGGGGACTGCCTGTAATCGACAACTTTCTCCTTTTTTCAGGTGTGCTCATAATACAACATCCATCAAACCCATATCCCCTAGATTTTTTTCATAATCTTATAACAAACAACATTATATGAACAGTACAGTCTTATTTTATCTGAGTTTGATATCTGAAGAAAAGCGTTAAATTTTTCCTTTCTTATTAGGTATATTATTGAGTTCTCAATTCAAAAAAGAAAATGATTTTGAAATGTATTTCCATTATTAAGAAAAGACATTTAAATGAATAGCTTACTTCTAGACTAGTGTCCCCTTGGATCCAAGTGCCTCACCCTCATAACCTAATAAAATGATATCCATTGAAACTCAGAAGTCCCGTGCTATGGACTGAAACTCTGCCTAGGGCATCCCGAATTACTGAAATTGACTGAAGAATGCTGACCCAATGCATTTCATAAGCAGGCTCTGACAGATGACCATTAAAGAAGCTTCAATTTCCAAAACCCCAGTTATTGATTCTCAGTAGGGACCAAAATGTATGGGCCCAATATTAGCATGCCTCTTGGGGGAAAAAATATAGTATTTCTAACATGGTACACATGCTGTACATGGCTTGTTGTTGTTGTCAGCTGCCATTGAGCAGGCTCTGACTCATGGTGACCTTACTGACAGCAGAACAAAATGTTGCCCAGTCCTGAACCATCTTCATGATTGTTGGTATGTTTGAGTCCATTGTTTCAGCTATAGTGTATTCTGAGTACCTTCCAAACTAGGGGGGCTCATCTTCCAACACTATATTCTGTTGTGATCCATAAGGTTTTCATTGGCTAATTTTTGGATGTAGATTGCCAGGACTTTCTTCCTACTCTGTCTTAGTCTGGAAGCTCCGCTGAAACCTGTCTACCATGGCTGACCCTGCTGGTATTTGAAATACCAGTGGCATAGCTTCCAGCATCACAGCAACATGAAAGCCACCACAGTACAACAAACTAACAGACGGGTGGCGGCTACACATGGCAGGGGATTGACAATACTTGTTAAGTGACTGTAGGTATTAGAGTTAAAATATCCCAATCCATTAACTATTGGGCAAAATCTCCTGATACTTCTCTCCAGAAGGGAAGGCTATATACTGTACCTAATTATTTTAAGAAGGTATTTGATAAGACAATGATTGAAATAAAAGATACAAGTTGATATACATATAACAGTGATTACAAGAGTTCCAATTAATCTAACACCTGGTGCTAGTCATCTGGCCCTTTATACACATTGTCTCCAAATTTTCACAATAATCCAACCAAATAGGTAATGATACTCTTTTACACAAAGGGAAACTGAGGCACCAAGCGGTTACGTCACTTTCTAAGGTCACCCGGCTACAAAGTATAAGCCTCAGTCTGCAGAGCAGAACCACTGAGGCACACTGTGCCTTCTCGCTGGGGCTCCACCCACTTCTCCTCTGGTAGTTTTCCCAGTGGGAATGGTTATTTATTTCGCTGATTATCTTTTCCTGTGAAGAAATCAGAGATAATGGCACTGTACATTCTAAGTAGCAAGGGCTCAGGTTCACATGAAGGAGTGCTTTCCCATGTTCCTGCAGCCTCCCGGGGTGGCAGGAGGTTAAGACTTAGTTCTACCACAGCCAGTGGCCTTGCGTTATAATTCAAAGTGGATTTCAGAGAAGGGGCCAGCACAGAGAGATGTGAAAGGGAGAACTTTAACTCCAACATTAGTATTTCAAGATGGGGGTGTTCTCTTCCTCCTTTGCATCATTTCCTTCCATTTTAACCTTGCTCTGTGTGTCACCGGGATTTCTACGTGAGTCGAGGACAAGGAATTCAGTAACCATCTCCAGCACAACTCTCACATTGTCCTGCTTTCTCTCCTCCCCTGCAGCTAAGGCCCTCAGCTCCGTGACCTTCCTCATGATTTGTCGTGCTGAATCTCTGTCCTGGTTACCTACGCGCATGAAATGGTCTGTCTTCCTGTTCATTTTGTATTACAGGGTGCTAAAGACATAAAGCCAGAGCTGCCTCAACCTGTGTTGGTATCTGAGCACTTAGCAGTGGGTTTTGAAATACTGGTCATTTTAGGTGACGTTTTGTGTAATATTTCAACACCATTTACAGCTGACCTTGCGGCCCGGATGGCTTTGGTAAAGGTGGATTAAGTGTGATGTACAGATGAAAATGAAAAAAAAAAAAAGTACGAACAATTTGGTGTATGTGAATAGCAGCAGGATAGAGGTGGGGTCTGGCACGGAAAGAGGCTAAGCCATACTTAACATGAGAGCCGCTTTTAGGTTCAGTTTCTCAGTGAAATCAACTGGCAAGACATGATAAAAAAGAGATTTGTCCCTGACTTCAAACTCACTTTTCTTTTTTTCCCTCAGGCCAGAGAAGAATGAATGTAGGTAAACCACAACCTTGTAGAAAACCTACCCAAATTGTTCAGCTAGATCCTATTATCCGTGTATTTTGGGAATGAGGAAGGGCGACAGGAGGTGAGACGGATATTAATTAGCCCAGTCATTAACTGTAGGCTGGCATTTCTCAAACTGCAATCCTTGGATCAGCTGCATCAGAATTCCCTGGAGAGCAGGTTAAAAATGCATATTCCTGGGTCTTCACCCCAAGGCTCCTCTTTTAAAACATATATATCAAGCCACCCCGAGCATTAAGACATTTATGCCATCTCCACCCTGCCCCTCCCCTTGCCCTCCTCTGCATCTGAAGGGAGAACCTTCTGAGGGTTTACCTGGTCTGATGGGGCTTTGCATGCAGTTTGGGGATGGGAGGCCAGGGTGAATGGGTGCAGAGGCCCGACTGCTGAGGTCCATGACGGAAGGGGCAGCCGAGGAAGCAGGCTGCAGCCCAGGAGGGTGAGGGCTGTGGTCGTGCTGTGATGGGCTGGGGGGAATGCCATTTTCTGACAGAAACTCCTCCAGGTCCATGTATTCCAACTGGAAAGTATCTCCGTCATAGGGAAGGGTTTTGTCCCATAAGGTGGGCCCCAAGAACGCCGACTGGGGGACCGTCGGGCTGTTACTGTCATCATCCAGCTTCTTCTCCTTGTCTTTATCTTTACTAAATGCTGCAGGAAAAGGGGAAAGTTGGACTTTAAAAAAAAAAAAAAAAAGGAAGGAAAGAAAAGAAAAAGCATTGCTTCTAACACCCCTCCTGACCTCTGCCACAACACCGCTTCAGAACTTTGCCTCTTCTCACAGACACGGGGGTCCTTCCCTGGCTGCTGTTCTTTGTGGATTTAGAGTTAAAAGTTCAGGCAGGACATGGATCTCTGCCTGTGTTTCAGCATCTTCCTATTTACTTTGGAAAGAAAGCACTAGTCCTTGGGAAAAGGCTACAGACTGATCTAGGATAAAAACAACAGAACAGAGCTCCAGAGCATTAGCTGAGGAGATAAAGAATGTCAGTCTAAAGTGGGGAAGTAACACCTGCAACTACATACAACTGCTGGGGTTTTTAAGAAAACAGCCAATAACCAGGCATGATGTATCTTCCAGGAAACTCACGACACTAACAACATTGGGTCATTCAGACGACAAAGCCAGCGTGTTGGTGATCTTGATTTTGGTAAAGCAGGGACTCTCCACTCTTCTTTAGACAAAGTATTAAAGACATGGAGGCTCTGAGATTTGAAGGAACTTGATCCATGTCTTACACTGGCAGAGAAGAAAAATGACAGCCTTCTGAGCCCCTGTGTGTTTGCTCCTAAAGCCAGGGAGCACTGTTTTACACAAAAGCAGTTTTTAAAATACAAAAGTGCTTTTCTTCTTCCTTTTCCCCAAACACTTAAGTATGATCCGATTTACAAAAATTATATGTCTATGCAATCTGTCAAATGCACAGCTATTGGAAAAGGCAAGATACTCTACATACTACTCTACATATGGAGGTATGCAGCTGTTTCCTACCTGGAAATATCGGTCACCTGATCAGGTCTTTAAGGGGATGCTTTGAATTTTGCCAGTTCTACCCAGGCGCTGGTGTAATCTGGGATTAAGGAATTCTCAGTTTCTTCCTCAGGGAAGCATAGCCTTCACCGCCGCCCATTCCAACCCTCTACCGTCTCATCTCCCGGGAATCTGACTTAAAACACCCACAGATGCAAAAGCCTGCAGGCGGCCCCTTCCTCCCAAGGTGCTATTCGTTAAAGGAGAGTTACGGGAGGGAAGCTATAATCTGCAGACTGCGAACCAAACGTCTCAGCTCTTCCAAAGCAACAGGCTGTCCCTAGAAAAGGAGATGCGAGTACTCCGAAGCTATTTGTGGCCAAATAATCTTTCAAGACTTTACACTATGAGCCGCATGGTTCCCATTTTCTGCTGGGATACCGAAAGCACGAAACGCATCAGCCCAAATGACAAATGCGCGGCGGCACCAGCTTGGCTCCGCGCCTCCTTGCACGCACCCCTCCTCTCCCGCTACAGTCAAGGTTGCCTGGGAAAGGTTTGGGACTTACCAAGAAATGGCTCAAGCCAGAGGAGGCTCCTGCGCGGTTACACGTGAGCCGGCTCAACTCTCCCCTCCCACCAGGAAAAGTGAACCGGGAAAGTGTCAGCGTTGGAAGCGTGTACGGCTTCCAGACGAGAAACCACTCCCCCCACCAGCTCCAACCCCCACCCCCTTTCTGAGTTACCCTTCTTGGGGAGAAAACCCTCCACCGCTCACACCTCCTGAGTTCCCAATACTAATAAAAGAAGCAATAACACGATCCCAATACCCAAGCTACGCAGTGAGATCTCCGCCCGCCCCACTGCTCCCAGCCCATTGACCCGGTAGCACCAGGCCTCCTGGTTTCTCCTCTCAGCCTGCCAAGCCCCGCTCTCGCGCAGGCAGTTTCTCTCTGCGTGCGGGTACACCTTTGGGGACAATCCTGACCTGTCAAGTTACACCTTCCACCTGTGCCGCAGAAGCAGCACCCAGGGAGACTGGCAGCGCTATCTCAAATGTTGCCGAGGGGTTCCCAGGGACAGTTAGGGTGGGACATGGGTACTCCGGCGGGCCCGCGGGGGTGCCAAGCCGAGGAGGGGGACCCCGGGAGCGTCTCCCCTTCCCAGAGCGGGGCGGCCGCAGCAGCGCTCACCGTCGTCGTGATGAAGGGGAAGCTTCAGCGGGTTCTCCAGCAGGGACCTGAGTACGCCGTAGGGAGGCGGGATAAAGGTGGGGTTCAAGGGGAGCGGTCGGGACATTTTCTCCATCGCGATGCACTCAATTTTTTTTCTTTTAAAAAGATAAAAAACCCAACCGCCCCCCCAAAATGTTGCTGAGCTGTTTCCTCCGTCCTTTGCCAAAAGTACTCTTTCAAGGCGGTGGAGACAAGGGAAGAAAAAATTTACTTATATCTTTATAAATACATCTGCATAAAAATTTAAAAGAAAAAAAAAAACTTTCGGGTTCCCGGTGCAGACGGTCCCCGGAGAGCGCGCCAAGTGCCCCCGGGGTCCTCGGCGACGTGCAGGATGCTGCCACCTGCCTTGAACCTCTCGTCTCGTAAAATGTTCAAAATTGCGAAAAAGAAAGATAACAGCGTCGACGGCTGCAGAACGGCAGCAGGCACCGCGCCGACCCCAGCCCACTAGCGCGAGCACCCAAGGCCACGCGCCGTCCCACCCCACCCCCCCGCCCCGCGCCGCGGCCGCTGCTCCCCGGCTCTCAGCGGCCCCGCAGCGCCGGGCTCAGAGCATCCGGCCGCCCATGTGTGGCGGCTCTGACAAGAGTGACGTCAGGGTCCGCACCGCGCGCCGATAGGCGTGCGGGGGCGGGGCCCCGTGTTGCCCCGCCCCACCGCGTCGCCGCCCCTCCCACCCTCTGCCGCGTGTTTAGCGCCGTCGCGCGCGCCGATTTTCCGGGACCTTGCCAGCCTCGGTGGGCTGCAAAGGGGCAGATGCCAGATCTACTGAGCCACTGATCCGGGCTGAGAATCTATTTTTTTTTTTTTTTCGGGGTGGGGAGAAGAATGAGGAGTTTCTATCATTAGTTTTCAACCTGGAAATGATTTGGGGAGTTTAAAAAATCTCGATGCCCAGGCCGCACCCCAGATCAATGAAATCAGAATCCCTGGGGATGGAACCCAGGTAGCAATAGTTTTTAAAACACCCCAGGTAGTTCTAATGAGCAGCCAAGTGAGAATGTCTGGTTTACATCGAATTGAGGTAAATACTCTTCTAAATACGTTTTCTGTCGCCAACCAAGCTTAAAGCCCTCTCTCTTGCCCCGCTTCCACAACCACCAGAAGATAACTACTTGCTAGAAACTCGACTGCGATGCGAAGAGTGGAGAGGAGCATGGAGCTGTGGACGGAGCTGCTGTGACTTGTTTCCCATGCTATCAGGGGAAACTGAGTGAGGGAAGACAGAGACACTGAACGGGGGTTTAGGAATATTTGCTCCAGGAGCGTATATGTGTGACTGTGCCTGGGTAAATTACAAGGTCTGCACGGTCATTAAAATAATGTTGGAAACCATTCTTTGCCGAGCGGGGGTGGGGGAGGTGTTTGTGGTCCTAGCAGCGGCTGCAGCTCCTCCCTCTGCCAGCTGGACCCCGCGGCGCCTATAGTGCCCAGAGCCCTGCGTGCGCCCCCGGTGTCGGCCGCGGATGCAAACACCGGGCAGAGTGGCCCTGAGCGCTGGCGTCCAGGCCTGGAGAGCTGGGGGTGGACAGCAGGTTCCTTCTCTCTCCCCGCTTTTCTCTACTAAGACTAGGGTAGTAGGATCTGGAGCAAGGGCTGCAAGACGGAATGGGCACAAATGAAAGAAACCTTATTTTAGTGAGAGAGAACGGCCTTCGTGACCCTAGGCTGAGGCCCGGGGGTGGGATGTGGTGGAGTCCTGGTGGGGTCCACTTCTCTGGAGTACCCCAGGAAGCGAGGTGTAAGAGAGAAGGTCCTTGGAAGCTGGGAGACCAGTAACTGGCCAGGTGACTTCTGCTCCGCTCAGAGGTGCAGTTTTCTTATCAAAGGGCCCGTGATCAAGTGACCTCGATGGTTCTTCTTATTCTGAAATTATGAAGAAAGGATAAGGTAACATGCTAAGTGAGATGGTATCGCAATGTTTCAGATTTCAGTCAAATTTCAGAAACATCAGAATTTTAGCTAATTTCACATACATTTATTGAGCACCAAATGTATGCCAGGGACTATGCCAGGACTGGGGAGAAAAAGATGAATAAGACATAATTCTTACCTTTAAGAACTCATAGTTTAGGGTCTAGCAGATAAACAAACATTACAATATAGTCTTAAAAGAGCAAACATGGACAGATGAAGGTGACATGGGTACTTATATTAGGTGAGGAATCATAAAGATGATTTCTGACCTGAAGCTTGGAGCTAATGGTCTTTCATGAACTTTGCAAATCTTCTAATTCTATTGTATTGTTTTTCACAATAGAAGACACTCCCTCTCCACTATCATTTTGTTTATTCTGTTTCGAGATGAGGCCATTTCCCTGACTTGATCCCCCCACATACTTTAAGCACATAAGGTAGTTCACTGGGAGCATCCTCTCAGACTGCTTAGAAATAGATTGCAGGTGCACAAAAGGAAGCATAACCTAGGTTTTGTATAGCAATCCACCAGCATGACTCAGGGTGACACAAACAGTTAAGTGCTTGGCTACTAACCAAAAGGTTGGTGGTTCAAAACCACCCAGAGGTGCCTTGGAAGAAATGCCTGGCTATCTGCTTCTGAAAGTTTATACCCATGAAAACCCTATGCACAGTTGTTCAGTGCAGCACATGGACTTGCCATGAGCACACCCAGATGTTCTACCTGTTCACAGTTGCCTGCCCTTCCTCACTTCCCCATGTTTCCAGACATGAAACCCTTATCAGCTGAAGTAGTTTGGCTTCTTTAGGTAATCCTTCCCTTACCACCTGGAAGAGCCTAATTCTTGGGATCGGAAATTACATTTCTCATTTTAAATGGATAAACTGGCATCTGGGTTTGTCAACCAGTGTCTTGAAAATTTGGTTCATATAATGCCTCTGATTCTGACCAGATTGAGGGCCAGCCCCTTTGACCACCCACAATGACTCTTCTCTCTTGCTCGGCCTTCTCTAAATTCGAATGTATTTGCTAGATACTTGAAATTATTAGGAGCATTGACTAGCCTTCAAACTTTTACTGTCCTATCCCTTGACAAGATAAATGAAATTGGTACATTTTCTTTACTCAGGTTGTCTGTAAACTTGTTTTCTTTGACTTTTCATTTGACTACAAATCGGTGGCTTAACAGGAAGCAGTGGTGGATAGATGCCAGGTGAGAGAAATAAGGGGGATAGAAGGAACCAAAACTTATGCCTGTAGGATGATAAACCCCAAAACCAAACCCGTTGCCATTGAGTTGATTTCGACTCATAGCGACCCTATAGGACAGAGTAGAACTGCCCCATAGGGTTTCCGTGGCTAAACTCTTTACGGAAACAGACCGTCACATCTTTCTCCTGCGGAGCAGCTAGTGAGTTGCAACCACTGGAACTTTAGGTTAGCAGCTGAGCACTTTAACCACTGTGCCACCAGGGCTCCTTGTAGGATGGTAAGAACCTCTAAATTCCACAGGCAAATTCTTAAAGGGATGATCTCTGCAAATGAGCATGAACCCTAACTCCTGTGCATATGGCCAGAAATAACAGCCCTTGGTGGTGCAGTGGTTAAGCGCTTGGCTGCTAACTGAAATGTCAGCAGTTCGAATCCACCAGTTGCCCCACAGGAGAAAGATGTGGCAGTCTGTTTTCATAAAGATTACAGCCTTGGAAACCCTATGGGACAGTTCTGTTCTGTCCTATAGGGTCACTACATGTTAGAATTGACTCGATGGCAATGATATGGGCTTAGTGCTTTTTCATTGAAAAGCACCTCCACCCGTGCCATCTCACTGGGTCCTGAAAACCGGTGAGGAACCAATGGTGCCCATTTTCTATGTAATAACCCACACCAAAACCTAGTGGTTTACAAAAATAACCATTTTATTATTTCTTATCCTTTTGCAATTTGGGCCAGGCTCAGCTGGGATGGTGGGATGGCTGGCCTTGTCTCTCTTTCCATGTAGTCTTGCAGCCTCTCCCCTTTTCACATGGCCTCTTTACATGGTCTCTTCATGTGGTCTCTTCAGCAGAGTAGCCAGACTTCTTACATTGCAACTCAAGGCTGCAAGAGCCAGCATTTCAAGATGAGCTCCAATGTGCAAGCTCTCATCAAGTCTTTGTTTGCTAATGTCCCCATGCCCAAAGCAAAGCACTTGGCCAAGCCTTGAGTCAATGGGAAGGGAGCTCCACAAGGACATGAAAATTAGGTGGCAGAGTTCATTGGGAGTCACCAAATAACAGTCTACCGCAGCCATTCAGTTATTTTACATTTCAGACAAAGACCATTGAGATCACAGGATTTATACAAGGTCTTCAGGCAGAACCAAGACTTGTACCAAGATTTTCTGACCATAAGTCCAGTGTGTTATTGGATGTTTACTCAGTCATCCATTCAATACGAGTTCAAAACAACTATGTGCAAAGCTCTGAGAGGGATGCAAAGATAAATCAGACACAGATCCTGTCTGATGGGAGCTTACAGTCTAGTTAGAGACATGCCATGTAAAACCATAATACAATGTTGACTGTGATGGTCTAAGAGGAACGTAGAGTACTGTTATGGATTGAATTGTGTCCCTAAAAAATATGTGTTGTAAAACTCAACCTCTATGCCTGTGTTTATAATCCCATTTGAGAATGGCTTGTCTTTGGTATGTTAATGAAGCAGGATTACTCTAGGGTATATCTTGAGTCAGTGTCTTACAAGATAAAAAATGAGCGGATTAAGCAAGCAGAGGTGGGGTAAGATAAATGCCAAGACACAGAGATCTCCAAGGAACCAAGAAGCAGAAGCTGAAGAAACAAGGACCTTCCTCCAGAGCTGAGAGAGAGAGAAA